AACAGCCCGTTCTCAACTACATTTTATAGGTCAATTCAGTAGTTTGGAACGACCCGTTCTAGTTTGGGAACGGCCCGTTCTGGGCTACTGAATCACCCATACTGGGCTTTTGGGCCTTCTGAAACAACTTGCTACGTTATAATACCCCCTAACAAACAGGAATTTTTGTCCTAAAAAATAGGCTTACCTGAAAAGAGGAATGGATATTGTTCCTTGAACTGACTCTCTACCTCTCAGGTAGCCTCACCAGTAACTGTATTCCAAAGAATCTTCACCAATCTAGTGGACTTGCCACTCCACTCCTTCAACTTGTAATCAATCATAGCTACCGGTCTCTTCTCATAAGTCAGGTTCTCCTTGACCTGAATCTCGCCGATCTCAACTACATGACTCGGGTCATGGACATACTTCCTCAACTGTGAAACGTGAAACATATGTTCCCCCTCAGCAAACTCCAAAGGCTTCCACCTTTTATCAACATATGACTTCTGTCTACTTTGGCCAGTCTTCATACTCTTTTGAATCAACTTTACTTTTTCAGTAGTCTGTAGGACTAACTCCGACCCCACAACCACTGATTCACTATTTTGGTACCAACACATAGGAGTCCTACACCTCTTACCATACAGGACTTCAAACGATGCCATCATGATACTAGCATGAAAGTTATTGTTATACATGAACTCTACCAGTAGTAAAACTTTTTCCCAACTCTCCAAGTGGTCTAGCACACAAGCTCTCAGCAAAACCTCCAAGGACTGAATTGTCCTCTCTAACTGACCATCCGTCTGTGGATGATAAGTAGAACTCAACCTCAACCTCGTGTGATAAAAGGTGGAAGCCTTTGGAGTTTGCTGAGGGGGAACATATGTTTCACGTTTCACAGTTGAGGAAGTATGTCCATGACCCGAGTCATGTAGTTGAGATCGGCACAAAAATAAAAAGACACCAACAGACAAACACATATGATTAGATGGACATACACATAAGCACAAACACAAACACACAAATCCAAAGACTCACATGGACAAAAACCTATGAACGCACACACATATACTCACATATAGACACACAAACACACTTAGAGACACAGAAAGACACCTAGACTCTCACACACTTAGAAACAGAAACACATGCAATGACACATAAAGATAAAAATGGACAAAAATAAAGACACACAAAGACAAACACACACAAATAGACACACTAAGGCGCACATACATACAGACACACACAGTTAAAGAAACACATGCAAACACACCCATAGACACACATAAACAAAGGCACACACTAACAAACACACAAAAACTCATACACACAGAGTTACAGATACACAAACTCACACTAACAAACACACGTATGCACACATACACACAAAGACATCCAAAGACCTAAATGCAAACACATACACAAAAAGACACTCACAGACACAAACACAAAAAAGCACAAACACATAAATAGAGACACCTAAACCCAACCACACACAAGCACAAGCACATACATAGAGACACCCAAACCCAACCACACACAAGCACAAACACATACACACCCAAACCCAACCACACACAAAAACACAAACATAAACATAGACATAAACATACTCACACACACAAACTGAAACACAAACAAATATACACACATAGAAACACACAAACACACATACACAAAAAAAAACCTACATAAACACACACAAAGACATACACAAACTCACAGACACACACAAACATAGACAAAAACACAAACACACACATACACACATATACAAATAAACACAAACGCAAAGCCACACAAATACATTCACACACATGCACACAGACAAAGACACACATACACATGGACATAGACACACGAACAGACAGACATAGATACACACACAGAAACATAGACAAACACACACACAAACACAAACACCCAGACATACACACACAGATGCACGTACATCCAAACACCTAAACACACACATAGACACAAACTCACAGACACATAAAAAATATACAAAGACGCAGACATACACGCATACAAATAAACACAAACAAAAATCCACTCACAAATAAACACACACATACATTCACACACATACACACAGACAAGAACACACATGCAAATAGTCACAGACAAAGGCACACAAACATACACACACATAAACATAGAGAAACACACACAAACACACAGACAAACACAACCACACATAAATACACACACAAAAACACAAAAACCCAGACACACAAATGCACATACATCCAGACACACACACACAAAGACACAGACAAGCACACCACACATAGACACACACACAGACTCACGAACACACAAATAGACACCCAGACAAACTTCTTTTGATTTAGGTTCCCTAGAAATTCTTCTAGGAGGAGGTTGATAAATTTCTTGCTATATTACTCTTTTATTTACTCCTTATTTTTTTCACTCAATTTTTCTTTTTGTTTAACCAATCTAAGTTTTTCCTCAATTATAGTAAGTTGAGCATCCCTTTCAATTTTCACTTTTTCTTTAGCTAAGGTCCCTTACTTTCTCCATAGTTTTAGTGATTGAAGTTCCTTCGTAATATGTGAAATACTTCTGCGAGGACTTGAATCACTACCACTATTGAATGAGAATGACGACTCATGGTCGAACAAGAAGATTTAAACTCAACTTGTAAAAGAAACTAAGCTAAATAAAAACTATCCTAAACGCACCTATTAGTAAACAAAAGGCTTTGGAACTCTTGTTTACTAACTAATCAAGATCGAAGGCTATGGTAACATAAATTGATGTGAAAGCCTTAAAGAAACAAGTAAAGAAGCAATGTAAAGAATACAAACAAAGTGGAAGTCTTAAGGAGACACCTAGAGCCTCAATAAGACCACTTCCACAAGAATAAAAGGCCAAGTTTACACAAAAATGTGAACAATAAAAAAGGATACTATTCGTGAACTTTTCTCTCAAGTGTTTGCTCCCAAAGTATTTGGTGTAGCTCTTCAAGTCTCCAATTGTCAATTAATGAGTTGTTCCTCCTAGAACTAAAGCACTTCTAGAAAAGGCTAGCACACAAAAAGATAAAATTAGAATGGATCTAGAATGGATTAAGAAAACTAAAACAAAGGATTAAGTAAACAAAAACTATGATTACAAGTTGTTAAATCCAAGTGTTTAGTGATTTATCAAACAAGTTTTGAATTTTCTTCTTCTCTGAACTGGCTCACTCTTCATACATCCTCCTAACCATAGCTTTAGTCGTCGGTTCCTTAGCTAGGCTTTTGCCATCACACACACACATACATAAACATAGTCCCAAACACCTACAAATAAACATACATAGAGAAAAACACACAAACATAAATAAACACATATACATTAAAACACAGACACGCATACAAATAGACACTCAGCACACTCAAACACACACATAGAGACACACACATAGAGGCACACAAACACACACAAGTGCATACACATAAAGAAACACTGAGGCAAACACATGCACACATAAAGACATACAAATACACACAAAAAGAGACTGACACACATAAAAACATTCACACCCATAAACAACCACAAGCAAACAGACGAATACACAAAGACACACATAAATAGAGAAACACACACGGGTACAAAAAACACAAACACAAACACAAATACACGCACACACAACACGCACATAATCACATGCGCACACACAAACGTAGACAAACACACACAGGATACACACAAAAACACACATGGACACAAACACACATAGAGATAGGCACAAACACACATAAAGACACAAACACACACATAAACACAAAGAGACATGCACAAAGGCACACAGACAAACATAGTCTCACACGCCTAATGGCATACATAGCCAAACGATGGTTTTCATCAAAAGGTTAAATTTGGTTCTAACAGTAAGAACATATAAGGATCAACAGAGATTGGTTGAGACTGTTAAATTTGCACATTTTAACAAAAATACCAAAATTTTAATCTCTTAAAAATTTAAAAGTCAAGATATACCAACTAAGCATCAAAGTTTTAATGTTTTAAAAATTTAAAAGTCCAAATAAATATGAAAATCTTAATATCTTAAAAACAAAAATAAAATACTGTTATAATACATTAAACAAATATGTTTTAACTCCAAATATATCAAACAAATCCATGTGAAACGGACAAGTCCCATGGGGTTTGCAAATTTAGCCAGCGAACTTTACAGAACAGGCAAAAATATAGCCATATGAATTTTTAAAAAATAAAATGCAACTGTTATTCGCAGGCTTAGAAGACTAATTTGCGACCTTAACCGATAAACTCACTCGTACTCTTTATCTTATTTTTAAGATTCATTTTAGTTCTACATATAGAAATAAACTATAATATAAAATTCAAATACTATCATCATCTTAATTTCAGAAAGGGAAATAAATTCTTAAAAGTAATTAAAACAATTTAATATAACATATAAATCTAAATAATATTTTAAAGATTATAAATTCCTAAAATAGCTTATCTTAAAATTTCACTCACTTTTAACTATTTTGAAATTTAAATTATTCTATCAACATGTACCAACTTCAAGGAGAGTGTTGAATTTTTTTATTATTTTTTTTTAACGCAGTTGCTGTATTTTTAGTTTGTGTCTCTCTGATTGTTGGCTATATATTTTTCGTGTACAGTTTTCTACAAAAATAACACAATATTATTAAATCTGAACCCAAAGGTTTGGTTGAGATGTCATTTTCTTCCAAATTTGAACCCATATATCTGAAGCCCAACTTCAAATTGAAATGGACTAGCAAATTAATAATATGTCTCATGTGCAGAGAAAAAATTATACACTACGATTGAATTAGAAGAAAGGTTGATTTGATTTTACCAAAGAATCCGCCAACTATTATTTCGTTCCCTAATGAATAAAGTCGTTTCATACCACGTGTGGAAGAATTGAAGAAACCGAGACAAGAAAAAAGGAATATAAACTCTTGAATCTAAGTCATATTTTCATATTTTGGTGCCCTCAGTTATTAAACAAAATGACTTGGGTCCAAGTACCAGAAGATCATAAAAATAGGCAACAAAATCTCAAATAGAACAATTCACCCACTTTTGCATCAAGTATACCGATAATCTATATTACTAGCATGTTAATCTATATTTACATTCTCTGGGAGGTTTTCATTTCTCAAGCACTCAAATTGCTCCAAGATGAGTTTATTGTGAGTAGTTTGTAACCTACATATAGGGATTCCGATGCTGTGATAATTAACTTAGGAATATACATCTATACTAAACATCTTTCAGATTTTTCTCTTGTCAGGGTAAGAACCGTTCCATAGGTCATCATTTTGTTTCAGAAATGATAGAATCTATTGCCAAATTATGCTCAGACCAAGGAACAAGTATAACTGGAAAGTGTTATATATATATATATATATATATATATATATGACGTGGTCAAATGGTACAAGAAGCCATATGCAATATCAATTATCAGTCTTTGGGATGTCACCCACGCTGTTGGAGCTATCCTGAAGTCCTTGAGACGAAGAATACTGACTTGAAGCACTCCCACCTAGGATTGTTCTGTTTTTCATAACTGAATGCTTGCCCTTCCTTCCTCCAGAAATGCAATCCTACAGGAATTGAAATTGATGTTGTTAGTTTCAGCATTGAGACAAGTTTGAGTTTCTAAATCTGGGTTATATATGTGTTCAGTCCCCAACAAAATCATCTCTTTTCAGTCCTTCATTTATGAAAAATTGAAAATGTATGATATACGATCCCTATTTCAATAAAAAAGGACCAAAAGGAAACTATATATTTTTGTAAAGGATAAGGACAACCAACACACCTAGGCCAGATTAACGATAAATGAGACCTAAATGAGAACGATATATATTAGGTTTTTTTTGCCAACATATGAAACCTTTTTGTTATGCGTGACTTTTTTACTTTAAAGAAACTAATAGTAAGTAATTTTTTGTTGATGGGCCTAAAGCCTAAGCTAAAGCAACCTTAACTTTAGGCCACCCCTTAGTACACCTTACACATTTTAAAAAACAAGGAATGAAATTGAGATGAATTTTCTATAGGGGCTAAAGGCAAACATATTTTTATATTTATAAAAACATATTCAACTCTTAAAATTTTTTATAACCTACCTGTTGTGTTGATGATGATCCAGGCATCTTAAGTTCAAGCTCTGTGGCCACATCATGGGACTCACTACACCTTTCAGCATCACCGGGCCTTCCATGAGCTGGTGACTTGCTTCGGGATTCTTTATGGTTCGACACGTGGGACGTGGAAGCACACAGAGCTGATGGCAGCTCAACTGGTGGATTAGTTGGAGTTGAATATGGGACATACATTGGACAAGGATTAGCCATGGGACCAGGGTTTTGATTTCCAAAGAAAGGAAAAGGTTGAAGAGAAGGGTGGATGGAAATTGGAGCAGGAGGGATAGGAATAGGAACTGGATACGAGTAAGGTTGACTAATGACAACAGAATGGTCAATTGCAGCCCATGGGAACATGATTCTCACCCTCTGCTGGTACTGGGCATTAAGATTGTCTATATCAGATTTTATAGATGTCATCTCTTCTCTGAGTTCATTCTTTTCTTGCATTAGCTGCAAATTACAAAATTGACGGAAGAAATGAGCAGCAGACTGGCTATGTAATATCTCATGATCAAAATTTAGGCAAACAAAAATCTATTTGGATACAAACTTAGAAAAAAACTTTTGAGTTTTTTTACTGAAAATAAAGAACTCTTTTAAATAAAGAAACTCTTATAAACATTTCTATCCTGTATTCAAACAAACTTTAGGAACCTTACTTCACGTGATTCTTCAGAAAGTGCTTTATGCCCTGTTTTAAGCTTATTAACTTCGGCGGTTAAGTCCTTTAGCATTTGGATGGTCTCGGTGAGGATAGTTGCCTTGTCATTCTTTGGTCTATCAGGATCTGTATCGAGTTCAACAAGCATTGATATCTCAGCCAAACCATAACTGCTACATCAAATTGGCAATATATGTTGAAAAGGACAAAGACTAGATAAAAGTTCAAGATAAAGAACTTTTTGTATACAAAAGCTATCTTAAGAGGCCTCAAACACAAATTAACATAATAAGATATTCCCTTATGCCAACCAGAAAAATTGCAAGGTACAGCACAAGATCAAAGATTCAAAGAAGGTTCTTGTTTCAGCAATCAGCACAAAATCAATCATATGCAGGTATGTTACATCATTGTCAGTGAGGGGAAAAATGATGACTAATGGAGAATTGTGTCAGGAACCCTTGGGCAAAACAGAAACAAGAAAGACTGGAACGAAGTAATTGGAATAGATCACTTTATTCAAAAACTAGAAAGAATAGGAAAAGAATTACACAAGGAGCACTCTCCTTCACACTGAGAAAAGCTCAGTCAAACTAATGAATTTCCCAAAATTGTTCTCATTTACTTCTAAAGTCTTATTTAAATGGTGAATTTGAAGGCACAAATTTGAAATAAAATGAAGGGTGGGAATCTATTATTCCCTTATTTGGGAGTTGGGACACAAATGTCACATAGGGGGAACGATTCTAACAAAAAAAAAACAGATAAATTATTTGTTTAGCTATATAGAAAGCCAATTTCCCCAAAAACAAAGCAAAAGGGAATGAAAACTTAACTATGGAAATGTAAGTTGTGTTATTTTACACACTTATAAAAATGTAGACTTAAACTAAACTTCATGGAATACAAGGAAGGGCCAATAAAACAAGTAGCGTATCATACAAAAAAAATCTTAAAAAAAAAAAAGAATCAGATACAAATGATAGATGGATTTAGTTATAAAATATTTGCAAAGAAAAAGAAAAAATGAGGAGAGAGAGATGTTGCAGTGTTGAACCTAACGTGTTTGCCAAGTCTTGGAAGTGCTCATTGAGTCGATCCCTTCTGAGTTTCTCGCGGTCTGCCTTGAGAACCTTTCGTGCTGCACTGGGATCCTCCTTTCCGCCTTCTCTCTCCCTATAACCACGCTTTCTCATTTAGTAACAGTTGCAAGTTAGTTGTTAACAAGTAAGAGTAAGAGCGAATTGACATGCAAAACCTGAGAACTTGGTTTGAATTTGAAGAGGGTTTGGAGCTGCGGTGATCCATTTTGGCACTCTAATCCAAAGACTTGAGAAACTGAGAAAGAGATACATAGTGTGTCCTCCACGAGCCACTATGTATCTCTTTTCGTCTTTTCTCATTCTTAATCCTTTCGTTTTCCATTTGCACGAGTGCCTTACACGTGTCAACACCTCACCATCATTTGTATTCTTGCTATTTGCTATTTGCTATTTGCTATTTGCTATGCTTCCCTTCTTCTATTAAGAGGTATATTATATGTTGTATGTAAAATTATGAAAATTAAATTTTATTAGTCTCATAATAAATTTATTTCTTAATAAATTTGAGGGTACCACACTATTCCATTTTTAAACCTATTAAATTTCATTAGTTTTCATTAAAATTAACTATTCTTGAAATATCTTTTACATTATCATTATTATTATTATCTAAGATATGCAAATATTATAATTATATTATACTTTATTATATTTTTTAATTTTTTTGTTACAATTAATTATATAATTAAGATATTTTACACTCACCTGTCTCGAGAAATTTAAATGTTATATATATATATATTTTTATTTTAGAATATAATTCATCTAGATTCAAATATTAAATCAATTCAAATGATAATTAAGAAAGTTAATTAAATCATTTAATTTTAGAGAAAATAAATTATAGAGAAATGTATTTTATTTTTCTTTTTTATTTTAATCACCTAGAAATATTTTTAGAAAAATTTACTCAAACAGACTTGAATATTCTTTAGATTGGTTTAATTAAAATGATTGAGTTATTTTATGATATTTATCTAAAGAGATATTTTATAAAAGTTATTTTTTACCAGAGGAATATAATTTAATTTTATTTATGAGATCTCTATTTATTGAGAAAATTTGTTATACAAAATCAAATATTAATATTATCGTATTCTAAAAATAAAAAAATAATTATTAAAATAATCAAAACAGATTAAATCTAAATATTTAAAATATAAATAAAATATTCTTATTAAAAAACTAATTTATTTTCTTAAAGATATTTAGAATATTTCCAACATAAAAGAATTGAAAAAGCAGCTTTGCTATACCGGTATTCCTTTGCATTAATGAAATCTTCCGTAAGAAGCAATCAAAGTAGCTAATGTTCATATCTAAATAGTTGGAAATGACACTCCTAGGTGCTTGTTCATTCCATTCCCTTACTCACTTATCTGGCTTAAACTATGCTTATTTATTTAATCATCTGCATAAGGTAAATTTGGCAAAAAGCGTAAGAAAAAGGAAGATCATAGATAATAGATAATAGATATGTATTAGTCCATATGAAATCATATATATCAAGTAAATAAGAAATTTTTAGCTACATGTTCAACCGGTTAGATATTGTACTATTAGCCACAATAAGAAGCAAAACAGTGATATGGGTAACAGTTTCAGTATTGTCCAAATCTTCATGGTAAAAGTTCTTCGAGTGACTTTGTCCTTCTTTATCTGGATGAGAGTGTCATATACACACCATGGGAAACTGATGAAATGTTCCCTGTTTAACCCTTGATTATAGCATCCCCAGTAACTAGGATGATATGTAACATGGTACCAAGCTGATGCTATTGCATTGGCATCATCCCCTTGAGAATTTGACTTTTCTATCATCACATTGAACCAGCTTCTAGCTTCCTTTCTAAGTGATATCATAGCATGGTTAATTCCTTCCAAATCCTTTCTATCATTGAAGGCTTTTGACATTTTCAAGATATTGCCACTGACTATTTCTGCTTCTGTCTCTATGCCATAGTAATCCATAAGGTTCCCCAACTTGAAATCATACATGTTCTTGTATTCACTAGCAATAGCTGCATACTTCTCAAAGCCATCAATCTCCATGTCATGGTCATATGATTGCCTTGCCACTTTTCTAGTGAAGGGCTTAGAGAGACTCCTGTGTTGTGCAACATTCTTCACCTCGCGATAGAGCTTTCCTATTATGCTGTTTGATTGGTAACTTGGTTTGTCTGGCTTTTCCATGAAATCTGGATACTCTTCCACGCGTAGATGCTGCGGTATTTCTGCTGGCACACCAGATTTTGCAAAATCAACTGCAATTGAGTGTAGCTTTGCAAGCTCAATACATGCAGGGCTCATTGCCCTCTCAGGATCTTTGTCAGCAAAGACAGTGTGTGCACTTGCAACAATTCCTAACCTGTCTTTAACTATGTAGTGAGCAAAATACTCCTCAACTTCCTGTAGCCAGGTGTCAACAGATTAGAACATGAGAGAGCAGGGCGGCTCAAGGGTAAGGCTACTAAAACTAAGGTTTTAGGCCTATCAACTAAAAGTTATTTGCTTTTGCTATTACCTAATAGGTTTTGTAAAGCAAAAACGGCCATATATATTAGTAAAAAAGACTTGACATATAACTCTTTTATTTGAAGTATATAAGTCTCTCAAATTTTGTTTTAAGTCTCTGTCATTATTGGGTCAACCCTATAAGAGAGAGCTCTCAGATTGTGTTTAGTTTTTATACAAATAGAAGTCAAGAACTAAGTCTTTGTCTATAACTAGTGACTATAGGATGATTTAGATTATAAGCATAAACAAAATAAGAACAATTCTCAAACATTTCATCATGTTTGTGGAAAAAACGAAGCAACGCCTATACATATTTTAACTTTGGTTATTTTTCCTTTTATTTTTGTAGTGGCCATGCCACTACTTTGATAACATTGCTTTGCGCTAAGCGGCATTCATTAAAGAAAACAGGCATCTTAATCTAAGCTCACAATAAAGAAGTGTTTTATACTAAATCTTTCTCTATTTCTACACATAATTTTTTTAATTTGATAAGAAGGTATAGCTCCTTCCCACCAAATTGGTCTATTCCTACATATTTTCCTTTCTTATAGCATTGTTAGGATAATCTCCAACTGCTAAAATACAGCATGAATTATCCTAACTAGGGTTGTAGTCATCAGATAAACAATCTTTGATTTTCTCTTTTAGAGGTAAAATTTTATCTTTGATGTCTTTTTGATCCCCTTCCTTCTATCATTTTACTATTACACTTCTATTTTTAAATTAATACCTGTAATGTAACATCATGATCCACAATCACAACTTTAGATGGTGCATGATCCATGGGATTTTCCTGACGAGGAGGAATAAGATCAGGGTCCCAACTGACAAAGTAAATATCTCCATCCAAGTCACTTCCTGAACATTCATTAGGATGAGGTCTACATGAAAAATCAAATGAAATCAGAAAACAGCTTACACATAAGAAGTGTTATCTCTTCCATCAATTTGCCGCGGTAGTACTAGTGTATGAAAGAAAGACTTGGTAGATAATAATTAGGCAAACTATTCTAGGAATCTTCAAACAAGAATGAAAATGAAATCCAACAGAATGTTATTGATTCCTTTCATTCTAAAAATTCCTTTCCACGTAGTCACCAAAATACTATGATAAGTTAATTTTATGTATACAATATGATTTATCTGATAATGCTATACTATGATATCTTCGTAACAACTAGTAATTTTCTCAATTGAAATTTAGGTACATCAAGTTATGCTGCCTTTAAAATAGATGGTTGAATGAATAGGTTATGTGTGGAAGGTTATTCCGAAAGGCGTGTGCACTTGAATCAATGTCTTCATGTGTGTGCTGTGCTGTGCTGGGAATAGGAAATAGCAAAATGGAAGTCTTACCTTCTCCCCTTCTGTGGAAAAACAACACAGTCCACCATATGATGCAGGGAAGGTACATCCACTGCTCTTAAAACTCGCACATCTCCTGGGTGCAGACAAGGATTTTTGGCTACAACTACCTTTCCCTTAACAATATGTTTGCTTTTGTTTGATCCATATCTGTTAGAAGAAAGAGAGGACATAGCATGAAATTGCTTATTTCTTTGGTGAGATATCTGCACAAAAACCTCTCCATATTTTAATGTCCTAGTTTCATCTAAGCATCCTAGCATTGCTCTTCCTTTCTTAACAAGTATCCTTGTTTTGAGCTGCAATTCCTGTAGTTTTGATGCATATAACGTTTGCAACATCATGGAAAGAAATGGTTCCTTAGTTGGACGAAAGCCACAGATAAGCATTTCCCTTAAAATGTTTCTAATCTCTCCTGTGGACATCAAGTCCAGCACCTTCAACGGCTTTCTGGATATCATTTTAAGCTGATTAAGGATCTCTCGTTGTTTCTTTCTGAAGACTTGATCGTTGACCCCAAGTGTGGACAAGAGGGTAATTATTTGACGATTAAGGTAACAAGGTCTGTATTTACTCCATGCCAAAACATCTAATTTTGTGTTTTCTGACTTGTACTTGCACATGCTCTTTCTTAAGGACAATTTAGTTGAAGAAGTTGGATCAATAGCAACAACACCTTTGTACCCCCCATATCTGATTTGAAATGCAGATGGAATGTTATCCTTACAACCACATTTCTTAGCCACTTTTTGAGCCAATTCAGAAGATATCTTCCCAATTCCATCAGAGAAACAAAACTTGATTTCACCTCTTCTTAGTTCTATATCAGGAATAATTTCAATTTCATGTTTTCCAACACTCACTGTTTCCCTGGAAGAACTGAATGATTGACCAAGCCTAGCTGCATATTTTGCCACATTTCTAATTTCATGAAACTCTCCCATCCACTTTCTTATATCAGATGCTGTAAGTCCAGTTCTTGATGCAAACATCCACACAGAGTTATCCCGTAATTGACTTGGTGAGAAGGCAAGAAACTCAAACTTTTTATCACCAATTGATATGCCATTTTTCAGTGTTGACAGTACCCTCTCATGAATCTTTGTTTCTCTGTCCACATCTATAGAACATGAACGTGGCACCAAATCTGCTGAATGAAGTCTATCCATGTCCTCATCAACAAAAGAAACACGAAGGAAGTTATCAGTGTCTTCAGGATAGTTGCGCAAGACACGATTGGAAAGGTTCACTTCAGGACCACAGAAATATATTTTGGATGGTGTCACTTGTATTCTATGCACATAGACCAACCCATCATCTAAAGAAATAGCACTAGATACTGGAAGTTGACTATTTGTTGAGTATTTCTTGTATTGTT